CACGTAAAGCTTCAAAATTCAAAAGCAGATGTCTATAAACTGATGTTCAGAAGAATCATGAGGACAAAAATCAGGTTCTCCCACTTTGGCATGGTGAAGATGAGATGGTGGTCACTTCAAAAAAATAATCAAAAATTTTAAATCCCCCAAACTCCTCCTAAGGAGAAGATAATCAGATACTAACTTCTGCTGAAGGATGTTTGGTGGCAAAAAAAATCAAAGGTAAAAAAAAAAAAAATCACAGACAAAACCCTCTCTAGCTCTAAACGTTCATATAATATTTTCAAGCTCTCCATCCTCTGGTAGAGCAAAGTTAATGTGAGCCTTCTAACCATGAACAGTGTCCCTGAAGAATGGATTAAAATGCCACGTAGTTTGGGAGAAAAGTCAGGGTTTTGGAGGACTCCGCTGGCCCAATACCGGGATGGAGTTTTATTTCTAGTTTTGTCCACCTAGAGATCCTAAATCTCGCATTGGCTTCAGCACTGTTAATTTTCTCATGGGTTTTTTCCACTCAGGGGGTCCATGAGCAATCCAAGAGGCCACAGTTTTGGGTAAAAATTGAAGAGGGTGCAGAGAAGAAAATTTATCAGAGGGCCACAGCAAAATACCTGCTGCAGTCCTGAAACACTCCAATTCATTGAGCCTGTCAAAAGAAAGCTTTAGGAGGAACATGGTTATAAGGAGGCACAAGCCACTTTTCAGGTCTCCATGCTCTGAGGGTTTGCATGCTCCTGAAACCTTTGCATTGGAGAAGAACCAGTTCCACATGAGAGAGAAATGAGGAAAAAATTTAAAGCTCCAACAGTTTGTTGGTGGGTAAATTTAGATTGGAAAAGTGCAGTTTTTCTGTGTTTCTGGAATCTCTTGATTCAAGCCTAGACAGTAAAAGGGATACAAAGGGATAAAATCTCAGAATTGAGACAAAGTGAGCTGGATGCTATTAACTTCAGCTGAGAAAAAGCAACAGGAATTTGACAGGATTTGAGAATATAGATCATTGTACAAGCTTTGCAGAGAAAACAGGACTGCGTGAGGTTGACCCCGGTCACCAGAGTTGACTAGGATATAGCTGGGACCCTTCCCAGCGAGGAAAAAGCCCTCAACCCAATTGCATGCCCATACTGGGCGAAAGTGGCCTGTCAGCAAGACGTGGAGTTGTGCAAGACGAACAACACAGCTCCCTCAGAGAGGTTGGAGGGCTGCCGATAAAACTACATGTATCTGTGCAACACCAAGCTCTTGTTCTCTCTCCTCCCTAGCTCTTCGTCGCTGGTTCACCAATGTACTCTCCTATTAAAACCCACCAGAGCTGTGAAGGTGGCAAACACCTTCTGAACCTCCGTGCAAGATGCCTGGGGTGAGTTTAATACAAGTCCCAGCCTTTCTCTCTTAAAACATCCTTAAAAATGACTTCTGTGGATTAAAGCCTTCATTGCGTCCTAAGAAAATGCCCCAGAACCTCTTGAGGCTGAACCAAAAAGACCACAAAACTGCTTCAGAGCTGATATTGCTCAAAATGGAAGAACTGAGATGATAAGGGAGATCGATAGTCACATCTCAACAAATATGAAGCCAACCTAATTTTTTGCCGCAGGGCTTTATTTTGGCCAAAGGCGATATCTGACAAAGACTGAGCTGCTGTGAAGAGCCTCTAGAACATTTTGACCCCCAAGATCCTGAACAGCAGACAACGGTGCCAGTGGTTGAGACCTCATCACTGAGGTGCTCTGCAGGAAAAGGAAGACTGAGGTCAATAAACAATATGAATTTTGGAGAGAAGCCCTACCACTAAAACAAGAGGCTGGAGGTAAGTATGGGTCTTGGATGAAAGAGATGTTCTGAAGACAGCAGATTTGCGCTTTTCTGGTGTGCACCACTGACAAATGCAGCGTCAGAACTGCTGATTCAAGGACTGGCTGCCAAGAAGGAAGTCTCTTAAATACAGTCCTGCCCATCAAGAAGCTTTAAAGTTAGCCATGTTTTTTGGTCCCAAACTGGCTGGTTACAATTTTGCAGCGCTTTGCAAATCTTCAGGCAGGCGCAAACATTGTAAAGCATGCCTTCCAGCCTACAAACTGCTATACTCCGCGATTCAAGTTTTGAGTGGTTTTGCTTTCAGTTTTGGTGCAAAGCTCCCAATGCTCCTGGAAGGAATTGCAATGCACTGCACCGTGTGGCTGCAAGAGCCACACCATTCACACAGTGCTATGGAGATAAGGAGGGATACTGCACCGATAAAACCCTTTCCTTACATAAATCTGCCTCTTTTCTTGCTTTATTCCACTAACGTATTTGCAAACGGCTGTTTTTCCTTACGGAGAGGGAAAGAAATCCCTTTGGAGCCGGCTGTTTTCCTCCTTCCCATATGGCAGATAAATCAGAGCTCTCTACTAGCAACGTTACAGCTTGCGTCCCTCTCCCATAGCTCACTAGTTCTTCTCGGTCTTATCCTCCTTGCTGAAATTGGTGTGAATTCCCTTCTAAAATGCAAAACTCTCGACAAAAAATGGCTTTGAGGACCAGAAGGCATGGTGAGATCTTCCTTTAAGAAAAGACAGGCCAGGCTTTCCAGCATTGCCTGAGTGCCTTCCCTGTCTGAGCCCTCATCTACCAAACCACAGTTTCTGCTCCCAAAAATTAACCCACAACACAAATAATTGCAACACGACCTGCTAGATTAATTGCACCAGTTTAAACACCTTTCTTTGCACATTTGAAGGCAATTTTCAGTCTCTTGACATCCTCCATGACAAAAGACTGGTTTGAGGTATTGCACGGTTGACTTACACAAAACATCAGCTAATTAGGGAATTACAGGTAGTTTTGAACTCCCTTAATTATGTTTAATATTTAGCATGCTGTCTCCTGTGTTTACTCCAAATTTTGGACCATGCAATACGTGAGATGGAGTTAAAAGCCTGATCCAAACTCGACATGAAGGGAATTAGGGACAAAGAGGACCAGGGAGGAGTTCAGGATTTGAGAAGGACATGCCAACTTGCTGGGCCCTGGCGACGAAAGGGGCAACCTAGCATCTGAGCTGCCCCTCCACTGATGTATGGGCTGCAGGGGGAGAAAACACAAAAATGCCTGGAAAATGGGGTGATATACGCACAGGGTGGAGAATGCCAAAGGGACCCCAGTATTTCTCACAGGATGAGGTCTTCAGGATGGATCATTTCTACCCGTTATTAACCACTTGAAGCAATGCCTGAAGCAGCTTCTGGTCCAGGACAGGATTTAGACCCATGCCCAATGTCACATCTTTCTATACCTTGACGGGTCCCTGTCATGTCTTTCTGTACCTTGACACAAGCCCGACGTCACTTCTTTTCACCTTGACACATGCCCAACACCACATCTTTCTACAACGTCACATCTTTCTATACCATGTCTGGTGTTCACACTATGGAACTGCCGGCATGGTTTGCTGAGGAGAAACCTTGGTTTTCCTGCTGGGGAGGCTTCTCAGGCTAGGCCATGCTGTCCTTGCATGCGCTCGTGTCCTCCACAGGCTTAGCTTCCTCTAAAGGAGGAACCCAACACGCCCACCATGCCTGGTGGGGTGCCAAGCCCTTCCACGCAAGCACCAGGCAGCTCACTCTGAAATACTCGTGGATATGAGCAAGGGAAGAAAGAGGGAATCAAGGCATGGAGTTTCCCCGAGGAGTCCACAGAGTGTTACGTAAGGGAGTATCAATACCAAGCCCCCACAAACGCACCTGGAAAAGTGATTTCCAGGTGTGCCCAACTTGTAACTTGATTCTTCCCTCACAGAGAAAGCAAGGTGCCCTGTAACCCAGCAGAGGGCAAACACAGCGCTGCCTTTCCTCAGATTAAAACCTCGGTCCTGCAGGACAAGCTGAGACTCTCTTATTAGGAATGGAACAAAATCTGGAATAACATAAAATTTAGCCTCATGCCCTGTTGGTAGATCCTTAATCCTCTTTGTAGGTTGGTGGCCAGGGAAGGTCATAGCCAAGAATGAGGGCTGAAAGGGCAGAAAATAATCCTGCCGTTATTTGACAGCATTTATTTAAAGGGCTTTCAGAGAGGCAAGAAGGGGCTATTCAAAGCAAAGACACGAAAAGAAAGGTCTCATCTTGTGCTGTGCCCTGCCGTGGGTCAAAGGAAGCTTCACATCAGCTGAAAGAGCACAAATAGCTTTTTGGTTTTTAACCTGAGATGTGCCCACCCTAATCCTTGCTGATTTAGGATGCACCTTTTAAGGACGTTTACACAATCTGAAGGCTGCACCTCTGTTTTCAGGCTAAATGCCAGGCTTTGTTCAATGACCAATGTTGTTTTCTATCACTTCTTTAGATGGAGCAAAGGAAACTTGCAGAAGACAGGTTTGCATTTTCTTTGTCAGCCATTGAGTGCCTACAGTTTCAGCACAAAATAGACAAATTTGGCACTTCATCAGCCCCAGAGTGCAGCGTTTTGTGTTGAACAAAGAACTGTTAGACCCTTGTTTTCACATGCAACTTATTTTACGGTCTGCGTTGAAGTTATTTTTAACCAGTGATGATTTCTCACCAGGTCATATCCTACTATCTCCCAAAATTTCACAGTGATAACATCCCCTATTTAGGGGCATTTTTGAAAAGTCTGTGTTTTTCTCAAGGCCGGCCGGTTGCAGGACTCTTTCAACGCACTTATGATAGCTGAGATTTAAAGAAACAAATCAGGCTCTGCACAGCCTGATTTCTTTAAAAAAAAACCAAAAAACTACAAACCCTGCTACTATTAGCCAGGATTTTGCTCTTTTCCCCTTTAAAAATGCACACTGCATTGTCCTTCTTATATTGTCCTCCTCCCAAAATCCAGTGGCCCGATCTGTGTGATGCTCCTGACTAACGCATTTCACTGCACGAATGAACACTGCCGGGTGCAGGAGGAGAAGGGGTGTTATAATTACACCCATCCTGCTTGTAAAGTGATTGCCTTCATGCATTTACTTGTCCAATTAATAGAAAGCAGAGGAGCAGCCTTACTTTTTGGGGGGTGCTCTGGGAGCCGGCTGTCCTGCAAATGCCTCCCCTCTGCCAGAAAAGCAAAACTTCTGGGTATCAGTCACGAGCTGGAAAAAAAGATGAAATATGAATTAATATTAAGGCTGAATTTTTCCGTGCCATAGGGAAGGTCTTTCAACAGCATGAATGAAGCCATCGCAGGCTGCCTGACGAGCACATGTCCACTCTTAACGCACTTTTTTGCAGGGCAGTGGGGGAAACCACGGAGAGTGCATAAAATGGGAGGATCTAGGTAAAAATGCAGGGGGGATGGCCCCAGGAGGTGAAAGCCTGACTGGTGCTAAAGCTAGGCCAGCAACCTTGGGTGAGGTCCAAGTATCTCCAAGGAAGGGCAAAAACCAATCCGATTTTTAGAGGCCAAATCAAGATAGGTATGGAAAAAGTGACATAAATGGTGACTCCATGAATGAGATGTTTTTGGAAGCCCTCCTACAGCAATTACTCTAGGAAAGCTACTTAAAGCTATACAAAAATGTTCCTAAAGCACCAGCGATGCCAAGCAATGTAGATTTACACGCAGCGAGCCTTCTCCTCTCGCAGGTGATCCTGGATCTGATGCTGGCCCAAGCTGGTCACCAGTATTTCCGTGGCGCCTGTGGGGATGAAGGGCGATGTAGTGCCGTCCTGTACAGGCAAAGAGACGCTTTCTGTTCCTCAGGGATGGGCAAGGGTGGCGGGATCCCCGGCAAGGCCTCTCACGTGGGATTAGCGGTGCAACCTGCAAAGGAGAAATCAAGGGAAAAATAGGTGAAGTAGCCCAGCCATTTTGCACCTGGTCATTAATTATAACTTAAGCTAAGGTGTAAGTGTGCTTTCACACGTCGACCTAGATAGTGTTAGCTAGGAACGAGAACTTCCATCACAGCATTCTCTGCAAAGCAAGGGGCTCCCTCCCAGATTTAATATGCAAATCTTGTTCTTGCTCTTTTTTCCCATCCCGGGAAGGCGCGAGGCATGCTTTTTTTTGGCAGGTCCCACAGCCCAGATGCACCCAACTGACAAGGGTCACTGCAAGGCAAAGGACCTGCCTTCGACACGCATGTGCAGGCACGTGCAGGCATGTGCATGGTGTCAGGGCAGCAGCACCGGTCCCTCTCTCATCCAGCAGTTTGCCGATGAGGGTTTGAGGAAAGGCGTGTTCAACATTTTTCTCATCTGTGTCCCCCTCTGTCATAAGATCAAAGCAAAAAAAGCAAGGAAAAATCAGTCTTTTCCTAAAAAGCCAATTAAATGTGGGGCAGGGCTGATACCTCACAGGGACAATGGTCCAGGGGAAGTACAGGGTTGTCCCAGATGTGCATTTCCAGACTCTAATAAATTGTCATTTCTTTCTTTCTTACAATTCTCAGTGTAAGTGTCCTAGTTTTTGAATTTTCCAGCTTTAGGGCAATTGCAACTTTTCAATGATTTTAAATCCAAAAGCGTTGAGGCCATAGCAATTTTAATCGTGGCTTAAAGACACCGCAGCCACCATACAGATGTTGTGAGAAACGAGTTAGGCTCTGACATATACATGCTTCGATATACTTCACCTCTAGAGAGCTCTGCAGATCTCCAATATACATCTGATATATGTACGCCTTGATGTACATCACCTCAAGGGACCTCCTCAGATCTCTGATATCCACCTGATATATGCACACTGATGCAATATATGTCTGGTATCTCTACCTTGATATACATCACCTCTCCACGGCTCTTCAAGTCTCCAATAGTTGTCTGATACATGTACCTTGATATATATCATCTCTAGAAACCTCCTCAGGTCTCTGATATATATCTGAAATATGTATACCTGGATGTTCATCACCTCTAGAGAGCTCCTCAGATCTCCAGCATTTGTCTGATATATATACCTAGTTGTACATCACCTCTAGAAAGTGTCTCAGATCTGATATACGTCTGATATATCTACCTTGATGTACATTACCTCTAGAAAGCTCCTCAGATCTCTGATATATGTCTGATATATCTACCTGGATGTACATCACCTCTAGAGAGCTCCTCAGATCTCCAACATTTGTCTGATGTATGTATGCCTTGATGTACATCACCTCTAGAGATCACCTCAGATCTCTGATATCCACCTGATACATGCACCTTGATTCAATACACGTCTACCTTGAAATAAATCACCTCTCTAGAGCTCCTCAGATCTCCGATATAAGCCTGACATATAGACCTGAATTATGTCACCTCCAGAGAGCTACGCCTCTCTGGTGAGTCCCTATCTCCCTTTCTAACCAGGGACCCAGAGAGTCCTGGTTCGCCGTCATATGGCAGCTCCCCAAAACACAGCAATAAACGTACCAAAGATAATGGTTTCCCCTGGTTTTAACTCCTTCCCCAACATATCACAATAACAATGCATTTTCTTGCCCTTGTACACTGATCGCAGCCAGGAGATCTTGGAGTCAAAGCCCGAAAGACATGGGAAAATGTGAAGGAGCGCATTGGAAGTGCCATTCCTGGAAACCTAGACATTACTGAGGCTGTTGGCCAAGGACAGATATTGGAAGCAACCAGGTGATGCTGGCGCACAACTGGGCGCTGACAACGCAGAAGAGACCCCAGTTGGCACAGCGTGTTTCAAGGAGATGGCCCACAGTAGCACCAAGCTTTCCCACACTCTGAGTGGATGTTCTGACATCTGCTCTTTGTGCAATATTTACTCTTTCTATTCAAAAGATGGACCAAACCCCCAAACCTGGAAAGTCTGATGAAGGGGATGAAAGGGCAGAGTGCTCTTGACTTCTCAAGCAGGTCTAGGTCCCTCAGAGAGGCTTAGATACTTAATCCGGGCTGCACGAAACGCTCAGGCGGGGCTCAAGTCCAAAACCAAAAAGGTAACTTAAATATCGTAAGGATATTTATGATGGGAATAAAAAAATCTACAGGCTCAGGCTTCAAGGAAGAGCATGTGTGGGTGCTCAGGTCAACTACACATCAAGCATCTGGGACTACTTGTCCTGACACTGCTGTGAAGAGCTTGCATTTCGCCCCAGAGTCTTGTCGCTGTGAAGACTTTTTCCTCCCCTTGGAGAGATTTTTGTCATTTGGGCTTGCTGCATACGCAAAACTTACCTTTTTAATTGTGTAAGGAAATGCAAATTAAGCTAATTTTTATGATTGGAGGACCCGAATCTGTAGCTGTGTATCGGCAATATATCCAGACACCATGTTGGTAGCTGCAAGAAAAACTATCTAGCACTCAACCCCTTATTTTTAAGCTCCGGCAAAGCAAGAAGGCTTTCTTCTGGCGTGTCATCTTCTTGTTTCCAGCGTGAGCAGGTAGCAATACTTTGAACGTCAGCGGTTCGGAGGTGCGAAGCTGTAGCTATGGGTATTTAACAAAGCATTTGATGCTGGCCCCTCCAAATTAAGCCAAAACAACGAGTGATGCAATCGCTAATAACGATTTTGCTGGATTGCACATGGCGGGCCGGGAGTCGAGCTGAGCCTGGAGAAGAGGATCTGCCTGGCAAGGGGCATATGGCCGCAGTTCCACAAAGCCCAGCGTGCCCATGGGTGCACATCTGGGCGTGCGCCAGCAGCGGCCAGGGAACAAAGGCAGCTTCACGCCACTGCGCTGATAAATAATAGAAAGCCGAAGTGGCCCGCAGAAGTGGCACCACACTGTTCAGCCTCGGGCAAAACGGAGGAAAATTCGGTGCCCATGCGGTCTGGAACAGTGGGATTAATAACACATCAATTTTAATGCGGGGAGGGGGTTCACCCCCCCTTTTTTTTTCTGCTTCACAAACAGCAAAGTGAATGTTTGAGCATCTCGGCAGGGGGTTAATGAGGACTCTGATTAGTTATTCAGATTTGCCTGCGCTGCTCGGGTGGGGGAATAACGGGAAAGGGTTTGCAGCAAAGCTCTTAAAGACGACCTGCTCTGCTTCCGCAGCAACTCCAGCCCCTGCAGCCGCCGGTTTCAGGATGCTCACAGAAACTGAAACCGAAAGCCCCAGTTTTTGCAGGGAAAAGCTCATTTTTCTATCATTTGTGGGGATGAGAAAAGTCACCGCGATAGAATATATGTGGGGACACACTGATTCATATAAAGAGTTGCGAGAACATTTTCGCGTGTGCATGTGAAAAATGAACTCTTGGGCGCCTTTAATCTAATTTCTGTCCAGGTGCAGTTTGACCTGACTATTTACGTGTCATACAATATCACATTCATGTCACAATACAACCCAAAAGGATGCATACACGGATGCACACAAGGATAGATGCATGGATACACTGGGTGGATGCCCGCATGGCTGGATGCACTGGACACATGCAGGGATGCACTGGATGAGTGCATGGGTGCATGGCTGGATGCACTGGATGCGCTGGAGGCACTTGGACGTGTCTATGGATGCATTGGATGTATGGATGCGTTGGCTACGTAGCTGCATTGGATGCATATATGGGTGCATGGATGGATGCACTGAATGCACAGATGGATGCACTGGATAGATGCATGCATGGACGGATTCATGGACAGAAGGAAAAGGCTTTTATGGGGGGACATAATATTTTTACGAACTTTTTCCCTGCCACCACCAGCATTTACTAAAGGTAGAACAAAAAAAAAAAACAACCTTGTTGGAGCCCTCCTCTGGGGAAAGGTCTCCTGCGTTCTCCATCGGTGCCTGGGTACGTCAAAACCCAATCCTCCTCTAGGGTCCCGTAAACATTTTTCGCAAAGCCCAGCTGGATGAGCTCAACCACAATTGCTAGGGTCCACCAGAGCTGCAAAAATCACTGCAGAAATCACATCTAGCCACAGGCCTGCAAAAATGCAACATCTTCCGCTATGGTGCGAGGGTTTTTGCAACTAATAAAGCACTTTATTTCCTTGTACAAAATTCAGGACTTGCCTCATTGCTCCTCAGCATAGAAATATTTTAAATGGGTTTTGCTTGCCTGGCCCAGCATAATTTTGGGTTTATTTCTGGCTTTACGCCTGTGTTTTTCACCTGCATCAAAAAAAGGTAGCGATCAGCAAAACAAGCTGAAAAACAGACGCTTGAGAATAAGCCTAAGCAAAACAGTGCTCAAAAAGGCTTGAAGGATGATGCCAGAGTGGCATTTTGTGGCTCTACAAGCTATATTTGTCAAACAAACCAGACATCGCTTCATGTAATCGCCATCGAGATGAAAGCCATGGTCAGCAATGCATGGAGGATTGTTAGGCGAAGGAGGTCTTCTTCCCAGGCAGCATTGGAGGGGAAAACCAAGATATGAAAACAGCATGCAAGGAGATAGATTTAAAAATGTCACCTGCTGCAACAGCATCTTAAAACCGCTATCTTAAGGGAAAGACGGAGCCACACATTGGCTTTTTCCACGACGACATGTGCTGGGGTCAGCAGCTCTCATGTCGCAGCTCCCAACCCCACTCTGCCGCTAAAGAGACTCTTCCCTGGGATCGTTGCCATATGCTTTGTTTTCGTTTTAAACCGTACGTTAATTGTTCTGAATTAACTGCTCCAGCTGGAGGAGCAAACGAGCAATTTGCAGCCTTAAGCTAACGCCCAACTTAGCTGAAGTGATTTAAGTTTCGGGGGAAAATCTTGCCTTTCTGGCTGCAGAGCGCAAGATGGAACGTTCACCAGCAGGTCCTGAGCAGCTGTGCTTGGCTAAAAAGAGCATTTCCACAAGGATTAATGAGCCCGTTCAGTGGGAACCGACACTAGGATATGGCCATGGACAGAGGCAGGA